TTCCAGGAGTATACTGCCCCATCCAGCAGAGCCTTTTTCTTAACCTGTTCTTTGCTGCCTGGGTTTAGTTTCTTGTCTCCAGATTCCTTATTTGAAAATGCAGAAGCTGGCCTAGGGGATACATGTCTTTAATCCCAACAGCATTTGGGAAGTAGAGGCCAGTTCGGGCTATATGAGACGTTATCTCAAACAAACAAACAAAAACAAGGCCATCCAGTTGGCTCAGTGGGTAAAGGTGTGTCCTGCCAAGCCTGACACCCTGTGCTCAGCCTCCATAAAGCGCACAGTGGAAGAACCAGCTCTTGCAGGTTGTCCTCTGTCCTCCACATGTGCGGTAGTTTGTACATGTGTTTCCACACCCAATATAAATAAAATGTTAAGAAAAGAATTTTTCATTAGGGTCTTACTGTGTAGCCCTGGCTGGCTCACAGAAATCTACCTGTCTTTTGCCTTGTGAGTGCTAGAGTTAAAGCCACTCCTAACCAAGAAAAAAATTGTTAAACAAACACATACCAAAAGAAAACCCAAAAATCAAAGGAATAATTCCTGGTTTTTAGAATTGTCAGGATTAAATAGTATTTATACATCGTAAGGTCCTTCTATCATTTTCTTGAAGACTGGTTCAGACAGGTAAAGGTACTTTCCAATCAAGCCCAAAGACTGAATTTGGTTCCCAGAAGCCATGTCAGGTAGAAGGAAGAGAATTGACTGCAGAGTTGTCCTCTAGTCTCTGTATGTCCACTGTTGCTCCTACATATCGACACCCAATACTTTTCTTTTTTTGCTTCTTCGAGAAAGGGTTTCTTTGTGTAGCCTTGACTGTCTTGGAACTTACTCTGTAGACCAGGCTGACCTCAAACCCAGAGATCCTCCTGTATCTGCCTCTCAAGTGCTGGAATTAAAGTCATGCACCATTGTAGTTGGACTTTTCTTTGGGCCACCAGCTCAGTAAAATGATACGGAGACTTACTATTAAATATTAAGAGAGCTTAGCCTCTTCTTAAGCTCGTCCCACTAGCTCTTTTTCGAGACAGGGCTTCTCTGTGTAATAGTCCTGGATATCCTGAACTCACTCTGTAGACCAGGTTGGCCTTGAACTCACAGAGATCCTCCTGCCTCTGCCTTTAAGTGCTGGGATTAAAGGTGTGCTCTACCGCCTCCTGGCTCCACTAGCTCTTATAATTTAAATTAACCTATTTCTGTTCATCTCTGTGTGACTCATGACTTTTATCCCTCCTGCCTGTCTGTGTCGTCTGTGTCCTCTGGTGAATCCACCTCTCTTCTTCCCAGAGCTCTCTGTGCCCTCAAGTCCTTGCTATGCCTCCTGCGTAGCTATTGGCCATTTAGCTTTTATTAAACCAATCACAGTGACATGTCTTTGCACAATGTAAAGGGATATGCCACAGCACGTCATCACCGCCTGGCCCATAAGAACTCTTTAGTCTTGAACATGATACACACTGCTGCTGCTTTCATCCACACGACTGGATGGTGGTGGCCGATAGCTCCAGTTGCCTGTGGTAGTGTTCCTGTAGAGCGTTTGCCCTTTTTATACACTGTATAAAGGACTTGCCCTGTGTGTGTGTAATTATAAGTAATCTGTAGAGATGTTCAAAGTGAGGTTTAAGTGTATGTCTTATAACATTGTTTATTTTGTGTGTATGATGTTGTGTGAGAGAGTTCAAGGGCATGTTCACATGCCATAGTATGCATGTGGAGGTCAGAGGACAAGATGTGGGAGTATTTTATAAAAGAAACTTGAAGGGTGGCTCATTGGGTATAAAGGTGCTTACTGCCAAGCCTGACAACTTGAGTTCAGTTCCTGGGACCCACATCATGGAAGGAAAGAAATGACCGCACATGCATACTTACACATATAAATGAAACTTTCAGTAGTTTAACATGTACTTTTGCTATGCAGAGAATGGGTCTTGGAATCAGTCCCCTGGGGGATACCCAGAGTGACTTTTGTAACTCAGGACCTGGCATTGTTCTGTCATTTAATATTGATCCTTACTTGTGTGAAGCTGTCAAAGCCACAGATTTGGTATATTCCTTTCTTTCCTTGGCTGAAATACATTTCACTTCCTTTGTAGATTTTAAGAAATTCAGAAGTTGGCAAGAATGTTTAGAGAGCAAAAGCCCTTGATACCAATCCTGATGACCTGTGCTTGATTCTTGTAACCCATATAATAGAAAACTAATCCTCATAAGTTGTCTCTGACCTCCACATGTACTCACACAATGTAAACATAAAGACACAATAAGTACAGGAAAATTGAAGATGCTGTCTACTAGAATAGACCATATGATGAGCCAGTCATGGTGGCTCATGTCTGTTAATCCTAGCTCTGGGGATGCTAGGACAGGAAGATTGCCTTGAGTTCCAGACCAGCCTGAACTACTATGTCAGACTTGTCTCAAAGTTGTTTTTTGTTGGTGGTGGTGTTAATAGTTGAAAAGAGATCTGGGTGTGATCTCTGAGTTCAGGGCCAGCCTCATCTATATTGTGAGTTCCAAGATAGCCAGGGCTATATAGAGAGACCCTGTCTCAGGTTGTAGGGTGGGGGGAAGTAAAAGAGAAAATGGACTAGAGAGATGGCTAAACAGTCAAGATCACTGGCTGCTCTTCCAGAGAACCTGGGTTTGATTTCCAGCACCCCCATGGCAGCTTACAACCATCCGTGACTCTAGTCCCAAGGGGATTGAGATTGGCCTCCGAGGTCCCTGCATGCATGTGGTGCAGACATACATTCAAGCAAGTATTTATGCACATAAAATAAAAATCAAAATTAGTAAAAATTACAGGAAGCTGGGTGTAATGGAGAGCACATATCTTTAATTCCAGCCCCCAGGAGGCAGAAACAGGTGAATTTTGTGAGTTTTGGGCCAACCTGGGGTACATTTCAGGTTTCAGGTCAGCCAGGGTTGCATGAAGATCCTGTCTCAGGAAAAAAGTATTTTTTTTTTCCTGACTGGACTCAGTTTGTTGAAAGTCTTTCCCACTTGATGGAGTCGGGCATACTGGCTTCTCTGTCTCCCTCTAGGCTGGTGTCTGCTGTCAGCCCCAATGCATCCTCACTGGAAGCAACTCAACTTGTGCTAAGCCCTTCCTTCGTTTCCTGAAAGCCGGTTGCTCTTGACTCAGCTTGGTGTCTTTTGTTGTTTAGTTGACACTTATTGCCCATATTTGTGGAGGACAATGTGATAATTTGATACATGGATTCTAACAATCAAATTAGGGTAATTGACATTTCCTTCTCTTTAACAAAATTTATTTTTTGGTGGCAGTGTTTAATCCTGCTGTCCCTTTTCTGTTCCACCATTCTTCTTAGTTATTAATTTTTGCATATAGTCTCACTATGTAGTCCCAGCTGGCCTGCAATTCTCTACATCAACCAGGCTAGCCTGGAACTCACAGAGGCCTGCCTGCTATGCCTCCTGAGCACCCAATTACTATTGTATATGTGCATGTGAGTGTGCATACATACCATGGGTATGTATGTGAGAGAGAGTGTGATGAACTGGAGTGTCTTCCTTGATCACTCTCTACCGTAGAAATTGAGGCAGTGACTCTTGCTGAACCCAGAATTTCTCCTTTTGATAGTCTGGCTGCTTGGGCAGTTCCTGACTCCAGCTTGTAAGTGCTAGGGTTACAGGTGGACCACCACCCAACTGGACTTTAGTGTGTTTTGGAGACCCACATTCAGCTCTTCATGTGTGCTGAGTCATCTCTCCAACCCTCTTGATTTTTTACTTTATTCTTTTTATTATTTATTTTTCCTTTCCTGAGAGAGGGTTTCTGTGTAGTGGCTGCCCTGGAACTCACTCTGTAGACCAGGCTGGCCTTGAACTCAGAGGTCCAGTTGCCTCTGCCTCCCAAGTGGTGGGCTTAAAGGCGTGCACCACCACATCTGGTCAGAATTTCTTTTTAAAACTGGTAATCTGTGTTTGAAGAGTGTCTTTTCTTCCAGTGGATCCAAGTTCAGTTCCCAATACCATATCGAGTGGCTCAATGCTATAACTCTAGCTCCAGGGGATCCAATTTTCTCATCTGGGCACCTGCATATACACACACTCAAGATACATGTGTACACATACACACACACACACACACACACACACACACACACACACACACACAATAAAATACAAATTTTTTAGACTGGTAATTCCCTGGTTCTTTCTGCCCAGCTCGTCATTTATATAACCCAATGAGACAACCTGTTCTTTAGTCTTGGTGAGATTTGTCTGGTGTTGTCCCAAGTACCATCTAATACTCAAAGATTGATTCTAGGCCAGGTGTGGTGGTGCATGCCTATAATCCTAGGTAGATAGGAGGCTGAAGTAGGAGGACCACCAGTCTGAGGCCAGCTTGGGCTGTTGAGATTATTCACATTCCTGCCAGCCTAAAACCTTTTCAAGCTGTGTAGAATTGCAGTTCAGAGATGTGTTGATTGGAAATCTGAAAAAATATTTTTTTTCAAGGAAAATGGATTTAAGGAATAAAGGAGAAGGGGAACAATGAAAGATAATATGGCTGTTTTCAAGCTTGTGAAAGATTGGCTGTGTGTGGCCATAGCATAGGTACATGTCTTTTCCATGACGTCATTTCTTTCATTTCAAAGTAAAATACCAATTCTGGTTTTTTGAAGTTTGGCATACATTTTGTGACTCAATGAAATGTGCATATATTTTGTTATAAACATTAAAAATTGTGTTTTGGGGTGGGCCATACTGCTTGATGATCATTTCTGTTCATCTGTTATTTTTAGAGAATGTTTCAATAAGCAGTCCACACTGGCCTCAGCCTCTAGCCTCCTGAGTGCTTGAGATTACAGCCCAGGGCCACTTTGTCTGGTCTAGACATTGAGGTCATGAGTGTTAATTCCCAACTATGTGGTCAGGTGCCAGAGACCAGGATTCTAGCAACTACTCTGCTCTATTACTAGCATTCAGTAGTTATTCCCAGGTGTGATGTGTGGTGTGTCTCTTTTCAGGTAGAATGGAAGAGTCTCACTTCAATTCTAACCCGTACTTCTGGCCTTCTATCCCCACAGTCTCAGGGCAGGTAAGTGGTATTTGTTTTGTTTTCCTCAGTATTTATTTGAGCTCTGAGGCGTAAGTTCTTCATGATGTTTCTACTGTGTGGAGGCTGAAGCAAAGTAAAACATACCTTGTTTCACTGAGTCTGTTATCACTGAGAGTTCCATAATGTTTGGGTCTGGCTCCTGTTTAGAAATAGATATCAACTCCTTGCTTCTTGATCTCCAAGGAGAAGACAGTGAAGCATCCTTAGGGAGCACAAGAAACCAGGCTTGCTTGGTCTAAAGAGGGTACTCCTCTTTCTCTCCTTTTCTTTTAGATTGAAAACACAATGTTCATCAACAAGATGAAGGATCAGCTATTGCCAGAAAAGGGCTGTGGACTGGCGCCACCTCACTATCCCACTTTGCTGACAGTGCCTGCCTCAGTGTCCCTGTCCTCTGGCATTAGCATGGACACTGAGTCCAAGTCAGAGCAGCTGACCCCACACAGTCAGGCCTCTGTTACCCAGAACATTACTGTGGTCCCTGTGCCATCTACAGGACTGATGACTGCGGGTAAGCGCCCTTGCTTCTCTCCAATCTGAGGTATTGATCTCTCATGATCAGTACCCCAGTCTGGAGGGCTCTGAGGACATGGGGAGTGGGGTATGTGTTTAATTCCTCAATCAGATTTTTATTAAGTGCCTACTGTGTACCTAGCAATGTGCTAGGCATTGTGGGGGATACAAAGAAGTAGAAGATGCGGTCCCTGCCTTTGAGGAGGTGACATTCTTTCCTTCTCTGAATCAAGGAGTCTCCTGTTCTCAGAGGTGGAGAAGAGAAGGGAGTCAATCAAGGGGTAAATCTCATTGTTACCGGGGGGCTGGGGACAGGGGTTAGGAAACCATTGTTTTTGTACAGGGTTTGGGATTTCCTGTGTAGTAATGGGCTGGAGGGTGGTGGGAGGGGTTAATTAGACAACCATCTGGGGGAAATAAAAATAGAGTAAGAGTCAGAGGCGAACAGCATGACCCCATCTCCTTTTTCTCCCAATCCTAGGTCCTGGTTTGGTAATCACATCCCCCTCAGGCTCTCTTGTGACCACAGCCTCATCAGCTCAGACCTTCCCTATTTCGGCTCCCATGATTGTCTCAGCTCTTCCCCCTGGCTCACAAGCCCTACAGGTGGTCCCTGACCTCTCCAAGAAGGTAGCATCATCCCTAACTGAGGAAGGAGGCGGTGGTGGTGGAGGTGGCAATGTGGCTCCTCCTAAACCTCCTCGGGGCCGCAAGAAGAAGCGGGTGCTGGAATCAGGGCTTCCTGAGATGAATGACCCTTACGTCCTTGCCCCTGATGACGACGATGACCATCAGAAAGATGGCAAGACCTACAGGTAGGACTCATAGCCAGGGCAGGACGGGTTGAGGGTCACTGTCTCAAGCCTCCCCTGTCTTCTTTGGGTCCTGCCCCCAAGTCAGGCTCTGTTCTCAGCAGCTATCACCTGAGGGCCACTTGCATGTCCAGGTGTCCTATATTGTGATAGGAAGGCAGAGCTGCTGCCACTTGTAGTGGTTTAGACCTCTCCTTCCACTCCCCCTTTTAAAACTCAGGGTGGCACGATCCTTAACTGAGTTTTAAATGACAGGAGAGTTTCTCTCTTGTAATAAGGCTTCCGAGTGGGTTCCAGACCATGTCTGCAGCTCCCTTTTTTCCCTTTCTGTTTCTTATTTTCCAAGAAATCTTTCTGGAAAGCCCCTTACCTAACCTGTGCCATCCACCAGCTCCAGCTCCACCAGCTCGGGCTGTGTTGAACACTGAGCCCATCAGCCCCTGCATGGTTGGGATGGGAGGAATCTCCATGCAGAGGTGGGAGGAATAGACCACCTATAAAATGACTTGTTTGCTCACCTTCAATCATGGGAGTCATTCTGACCCTGCACTTTCTCTCACGTCCATCCCAAAAGAGCACATGCGTTTTTGCATGTGGCACTGTGTACAGAGAAACTCCTTGTCCCTTGAAAGTTGAAATAATTTTTATTTCCTTGAAAACTGTCAGGGTCCCTAGTGGGTTTTGGACACTTGGTCCCAAGGTGCAGAATGGGTTAATTATTATCATAGCTTTGATATGTACAGACAGGGGCAGATTTGCATGGCTGGGAGACTGGTTCTGTCCTTAGTGTACCGAGATGGGCAATGTTGTTCCCATTTTTAGGAGCGAAGGGAACTGCGGCACAGGAAATGGACAGAGCCTTGGGCTCATGGATTCAGTTCCCGGCTCCACCACGAACTTGCTGTGTGACCCTGGGCAAGTCCTTTTCCCCTCTCTGCGCCTCAGTTTCCTCATCTGTAAAATGGGGAGAATTCTTTGTATGCCTCCCATTTGTTGGGAGTATAGATAATATTTAAAATGTTGGGAAGTTCAGAAAGATGAGAGCTGATCATTACTTAGCATCATTTACTTGAATGTAGTTCTATGGAGAGTATCCACAAGTACAGTATAAATACCTCTTTCTACGTGAAAGAGAGGGCGGTGTTGCTATGCAGAATATGTTGAGCACTGCAGAATTCCAGCTGTAATTCAGAAGTTCATTGTAGCTTTATTATTACAGGTGTACCCCACTTTATACAATAAGTGTTCCTGGAAAATGTTTACATCATACCATATTATAAAGGTACCTGACAAGTTTGATTCATTTAAAGGCATTCTTTTACTATATCAGTTGAAATGAAATCCCTTTTAACTTGATTGTGTAGATACCTGGATTTTTATTTTATTTTATTTTATTTTTTTTTTATGTATTAAAGTGAGGTCATTGTGACGTGAGATGCATTAATATAACAAGTTGAAGTAGTGGATGCAGCCGGCAGCCCTTCTGGTTGACTAGGGTTCTCAATTCTCCCGTTATTTTTTTTTCTCCATACTAAAATTATTCTGAATTTCCCAACTATGTATGACTATATACATGTATGTGTATATAAAGAACTGTGAGTATACAGTTGGAAGGAAGCCTTCTAGGACCTTCTGCCTTCAGTATTTTTGAAATTCTTAAAAGCCCCTACACTTGATTAAAGGGAACCCTGAAATTGAACTGTTACTAATTATATCCTAGTTGAAAAAAAATTCCTTCAGAAACTTCAAATTCTAAAGTCCAAAGGAATCTTCTAAATCACAAAGAATCCTGGCTTGCTTTCTTACTGTGCAATTGAACTTGAAAAAGAAACTTGATTTTGGTGCCTATGTACGTCAACTACTTCTGTTTAGCATGACTGGGTGGGTATTGGAGGATTTAGGTGCTGTTATTGTGGACAAGCCAACTTAACTTGATCAAGTCTTTGTTCCCATCTATGAAATAAATGGGAGGGTCAGTCAGATCTATTGTGTGAAAGTATTTTAAGGGGAAATCTGAACATTTAAACTGTTTTTTAGCATCTTAGAAAAAAAGCTGGAATAATTCAGAGTGATTATTGAATCCCAGGCCATTGAATTGCATTTCCATTCTTTTTGTATTTTGGTTTTTTGAGACAGGGTTTCTCTGTATAGCTTTGGAGCCTGTCCTGGAACTCAGTCTATAGACCAGGCTGGCCTTGAACTCACAGAGATATACCTGACTCTGCCTCCCAAGTGCTAGGATTAGAGGTGTGTACCTCCACTACCTGGCACATACCATTCTTACTTATTATATCTGATGTACATGGTGTCTATTGAAGAAATGAACTAAATGATGTGTGGTGCTAGCTCCCCCCACCCCGCCATAGCTGTCCTGAATCAGACTTCTAACCACCCAGTACCTTACAGTAAAGGATTTACTTGTCTTCCTAGGACTTGCAGAGTCCCTAAATACAGGTTAAATATTCCATCCAAAAGTGGTTGAGACGTTTGGCTTTTTTCAGAATTTGGAATATTTGCACATGTATAATGAGATTCCTTGGGGATGGGGTTCCAAGTCTGATCATAGAAATTTGTCAAGCTGGATGTAGTGGCTGGAAAACACTGGCAATCTCAGTACTCAGGAGGCTGAGGCAGGGGGATCAGTTCAGTGCCAGCCTGGTCTATATAGCCTCTCAAACCAAAAATATAGTTGCTGTGAGGCTGCTGTGAGACTCTGTTGGGTCTGCCAGCCTGTCTTAGTCCTGACTCAGAAAGGCATAACTATCCCCTTTCTCTCCAGATAGTGGCTTAAGCCTAGGCGTGCTCTCCTTCACACTATGGACTTCGTAACTCTTTCTCTGAAATTTCTCCAACCTATGTATCTGCTAGACTGTCCTGTGGCTGAACCTTCATGCCTAACTTAAAAAGGCATGGCTTTTTTTCTTTTCTATCTTCCTCTTTCAGGTAGCTGCCAAACTTTATAGCTTGCCTAACCTGCAGTTTTTCTTTTAAACTTTAATAAAATGGTGTTCAAGCTTTAAATAAGGGAAAGGCATTAATTTGTTTCAAATATACCTTATATAGGTAGCCTAAAGGTAATTTTACATAGTATTTTTTAGTGAGCTTGTGTTTTGATTTCCTTCTATACCTTAAAGTAACATGTAAAATTTTTTCACCTATGATTGTAGTATCACTGCTTAGGAAATTTTAGGTTTTGGAGGATTTCAGAGTTTAGGTTTTTGGATTAGGGAGGCACAGCCTGCACTTTAATGGTTACCTGAGGTCATTGCTGTCACTTGACAGATAAGATATTCAGCCCCTGCATGAATACTTATAGTGCCAGGACCTTGCTGTTAGCTTAGCATTGTGGCATTATAGTAAATAGTTTGCCCTCTGACAAATTGTTTTTGGAGCTTTGGGGTTCCTTTTTATAGAATTAGGAGAATAACTACCAGGTTATTTTGAGTTTAAAAAAGGTGTTTAAAAGTACCTATCCCACCCAGTCCCTGTCATTCTCAAGCAGCAGTATGGTCATCATGATGGCCATCTGACAGTTGTCATTGGCATTGTCATTATACCCTAGGATCTTTCTAGAGTTGTTATTCTGTTGCCAGTCCTTTGTTTTGTTTTAAGACAGGGTTTCATGCAGCCCAGGCTGGCCTTGAACTCTGGATTGTCCTGCCTCCTACTTCTCGAGTGCTGGGATTACAGACATGTGCCATTGTGCACCAAGTTTGCCAGTCTATTTTCAGTTAAGTTTTTCAAATTCTTATGAAAGCACTGAAGATTTTATTTTCTTTCTGGTTTCTTAACACATGGTCTCTTACTGTAGTCCAAGTTGGAATACAGGCCTATTTCAGCTCTTTATCATAATTAACTTTCACTTCAAGGATGATGGGACTTGAATTAAAATGTATGATTAAATTTAATATTTGAATTAAAATGTGTTGGGGATAAGGATACAATTCAGTAGTAGAGCTCATACCTGGTATGTAGCAGGGTCTAGGTTCAAGCCCCAACACTGTAAAACCATTTTTAAAGCGATGAGCATGTTCTACCTGAACTGAGAAATTTTTGTTATCAAGGAACGTATTTTACAACTTTAGTTCAGTGTCCTATAAGTGACATTTTGCCCAATTGCTAACCTCAGTCTTTGTAAAATACTTGTATCATCATGGGCTCACCCATCAAAACTGAGGCTGTTAGCAATAATGCCACTTTACTAATGAAGAACATTTAATTTAGCACTTACCTTTGGTTCTGAGTGCTTGCTGGCCCTTCTAGAGGCAAAAATTAATATCTCCATTTTAAAGATGAGAAGATTGAGATCTAGGTTAATGGGCCACCTCTAACTAAACTCTTGGACTAGAGCCCAGGCATCTAGCTAGACACCCAGTAACTGTTTACTTTGGACCATGCTGATCTCTCCTGCAGTGTTTGGGTGTCTCAGTCAATACCAATGACTGATAAACTGGTACTCAAAAGTTTTCTTGAGACTTACAAAGTAAGTAGAGAATTGGTGGCACACTCAGGAGGCAGACGCAGGCAGATCTCTGTGAGTTTGAGACCAGCCTGGTCTACAGAACAAGTTCCAGGACAGGCTCCAAAGCTACACAGAGAAACCCAGTCTTGAAACCCCATACCCCCAAAAAGAAAATTGATTATATCAATTACTATGCTTTTAGCAAACACATTAACACACAGTGATAACATTTTCTCAGCGGGAACTTGTTCTAGTGATCTCAGCTATTTTCAAATAAATTCTTCTGAAATGAAAAGAATGCAAGAGTCATCATTTCAGACCCTTTGATGCCCAATTTATAAAGATAAGGTGAAGAGGAGAGAAGCTTACTCTAGTGACCTGACTTCCAGACTGCCTCCTTTTCTGCTAACTCATAGTGTGCCCTGGCAAGCTGTTTCTAACTCATGTATAAATAACTTACTCAATTCAGTCTAAGGGGATGTGGCTTGACTTGCAGAGGCTTCCTTATTTGATATTGTTGTGTAGTGTCAGAGGAAGGACCTCCTTATTTGATATTGTTGTATAGTGTCAGAGCAAGAAGGACCCAGTGGTTCAGAGCAAAAGTATATTCAGGGCTGTTGATGTCACCTAGGAATGCCAGCATTGACTTCATGTGCTAAGAAAAAGGAGTTTAGCGTAGTACATCATTGCTTTTCAATTCACTGTTGTTGTTAAGAGTTAAGGATTATAATCCACTACTAACTGTTACCTTGGCTTGTTTCAAAAGTGGTTCTCATTTGATTGGCTTGAGGCTGGGGGCAAGAGCAGGTGATTAATGGAACATTAGCTACAGGATAGAGACCAGATGTGGTTGGGAAAGCCCCTCCAAATAATTCTGGTACTTTCCATCTCCATCTCTTTAGCAGTCACTACAAAAAGGAAGTAGGGAAAATCACTGAGAAGATAAATGTCTGGAGATGGAAGATCTTAGCTAGTCAGTTTTCCTTCATCTTTTGTATTTCAGGGTTGGGGGAGTTGGTCTTGAAAAAATACCAGGAGACAGATAAATATGGAGAAGTTAAGAATGGAAGTTACCTTGAAAGTTTGGAACCTTCACTGGCTCAGTGAAATTTTTATCAGTGGTTCTCAACCTGTGTGTTGAACAACCCTTTCACAGGGGTCACCTAAGACCATTGGAAAACAGACATATTATGTCATAGTAGTGGCAAAATTACAGTTATGTAGTAATGAAATAATTTTATGTTTGAAGGACACTACAGCATGAGGAACTTTATTAAAGTCACAGCACTAGGAAGGTTGAGAACCACCGATCTGTATTCACCCAGATCATAATATTTACCTGTATTACCAAGGTTGAATGCTTATTTTTGTACACTCGGGGTATCTAGTCATTTACTAAGCATTGATTGCGTATTTCTGAGTGCTCAGTACTGTGTTAGCTTAGGCAATAAAGAGAAATAAGAGGCTGGGCATGGTGGCACACAGTTATGATCCCAGCATTTGGGAGGTGAGAAATAAGAGGGTCATGAGTTCATGGTTAGTCTGAGCTACATAATGAGTTCAAGGCTTGAGCTACATGACACCCTTTCTTAAGAAGAAAAAGGAATAAGTAAAAGGTCCTGCAAGCTTCACCATGTAGTTAGAAGAGATGGGTGCAGTTAGGTGGGCTCCTCTTGGCAGGGTTGTGAGGCTCAGCAGCACCTCCTGGTGGAAAGGCTCTAATGTTGTCCTTGCTTGGCTAGGTGCCGGATGTGCTCACTGACCTTCTACTCAAAGTCGGAGATGCAGATCCACTCCAAGTCCCACACCGAGACCAAGCCCCACAAGTGCCCGCACTGCTCCAAGACCTTCGCCAACAGCTCCTACCTGGCCCAGCACATCCGCATCCACTCGGGGGCCAAGCCCTATAGTTGTAACTTTTGTGAGAAATCGTTCCGCCAGCTCTCCCATCTGCAGCAGCACACCCGGTAAGGCTGCTCTTCCTCCCCACCTGGCTGCGAGACTCCCAGGGCCAGGTGGCTTGTGCCAACTGTTTTCTCCTTTGCCTTTTGAAATCTTAATTCTCTTTTGTTATTGTCTGAAAATTAAACTGTGTACCCTAGCAGTATGGGGGGGCCTTGAACATTGTGATTTCCAGTCCCCACCTCTGGAACGATTTTTGTGGTTTCTCTCTGTGTCTGTTTGGAAATCTTCTACAGAGCAGACCCTGCTTTTACTATATGCTTCAGTTCAGAGCCATGGTGTGCACTCAACTTCAGGTCCATGGGGAACAGGCGGTATTGGCCTATGTTCAAATTGCTATTTGGAAACAGGGTAACTGTGGTGAGTGTGCAACCTTAGGAGAAGGCCGAGGGTTGACGAGATAAATGCTGGAAGGTTACAAGAGCCATGGGTTGCAGCTCTTCATCATCTCACTGCCATTCTAGCCACCAACTTGCAGTCAGCGACAAACTAGACGTGGGTGTCCTCTTCATTAGCCTCTCCAGCCGGAGCTTTATTGGGAGGAGGGAGGAGGGGGTGCTCTCATCCGTCAAGCAACATCATTTCACCCAGCAGAGAGCTGAGCCCATGGTGTCGAACTGCTTCCTCCTCCCCCTTCCCTCCTCTCCTCTCCGGCAGGATCCACTCCAAGATGCACACGGAGACCATCAAGCCGCACAAGTGCCCGCACTGCTCCAAGACCTTCGCCAACACCTCCTACCTGGCCCAGCACCTCCGCATCCACTCGGGGGCCAAGCCCTACAACTGTTCCTACTGCCAGAAGGCTTTCCGCCAGCTCTCCCACCTCCAGCAGCACACACGGTAAGGGAGAGGGGCGGCTACTGAGCCTGCCCGCCCGCCCGCCCCGCTGGCATGCCCTCCCCACCCCCGCCCCCGGACACATACAACCACCCGCATGCGGGGGGCGGGGGAGAGGCCTGGCTGGAGGTGAGACCTGGCTGGAGGAGAATATGACTGGCAGCAGAAAGAAAAGAAGTGGATGCCAAGAAACCTTTCTGGAGCACAAACTGTATCATAAAGACACAGTGATTGTTTGGTATTTCTTGATTGATTAAAGACAGAGACAAATTCGGAACAAAGACAACTATTTCCTTCACTTTCCTCCCTGAAAATACCAAGCACGCATCTCACCAGATTTCTTCTTTGGCACTAAAGCAGAGACATTTCAGAAGACCTACTTCTAGCCCTCAAGATGCCAATTACAAATGGGAGATATAATCAGATATAAGCTGGCACCAGCAACAACAAGCAAGACTCCCAAGGGATGACAAGAGTAGAGCACAAACGGAATCTGAGAAACATTTACCAAGAGCTGAGAACAAACCGAAGAAGCTCCTACTTGATAAATAGGATGCTTGCATCTAATCCATCATTTCGGAGTTCCTAGCAGAAGGGAGTCTGGCACTGGAAGAGCTGATGGTTTCCTTTGGTGCTGTCTCAGGATGAAGTGGAGTCCTGACTCCGGGCAGTTGGCTATCTCACCTTGCTTCTTGTGGATATGATGTTCTTACCCAAAAGTGATGAGACACTGCCTTGAGGAGTTTGCTGAGGGGAGTCTGCTCTTCATATATTTGAGGCTTTGATCACAGAGATGGTTCTGAAGTCTCTGAAAAGGGGCAGGTGTTGGGGAAGAGGTTCTAACCTCAGGATTTCCTGACATTAAGAGATTATTAGACTAGGGGGTAAAAAATTCCTAGAAATTTCCATGCATTTCCACTAATGTCACCGCTACTTTCAACAATCATAACTTGTCCTTTGATTTCAGAACTATCTCTGGATATGATGCTCAAGGTTGAAGGGACAGTATCTGCCTATAGGGTGGGAAACAAGGAGGAAATGTTGCGTATTTTTTTTTCCCCCTTAAAAGTATAGTTACCTTTTGTTTCTGAACATTCACCATAGAATGGTTTCTGTAGGAGTAGATTTGTATACCACCAATCATGACCTGCCTGTGTTCTGGATGCTGAGGCATCAGGCCCTCTTCTGCCAGCACAGTGGGCTCTTGTTGAACTGAGTGCTGTAGGCAGTGACTAGATATCAGGCACTACAAAGTACTCCAGGTCAGAAGGAGCTAAAGCTAGTGCCTCAAGCAGGTGCATCTGAGGAGCTTCCTTAGGAGGTACCCTCAAGAACCTGTGATCTGGTGCGGAGCTGATCTCTAAGTGACCTTGCTGATGTCCATGCTCTTCTTCTCATCCTGTACAGAATCCACACCGGTGATAGACCATACAAATGTGCACACCCGGGCTGTGAGAAGGCCTTCACACAACTCTCCAATCTGCAGGTGAGTGTCTGGTTTCCACATGAGACCCTGAGTTCGAGACTTGGGAGTGCCATTTGACTAGTACTGTGATTCTCAGAGGTTTTCAGGAGAACTAAGTTCTCTTCTAAATTATTGAGGTGAAGCTGGGCCTGCTAGCCTTTAATCCCAGGTGCTTGAAAGGCTGAGGCAGAGGATTCAAAGTTCAAGGTCTGACTAGTATGAAATGAGTTCAGGTCAGCCTGGACAACTTAATGGTAACAGTGCCTCAACATTTGAAAAAAAATAAGGCACAGATAGTAAAGTGCTTGCCACAGACATGAAGGTATGAAATTGTTCCTACAACCCATTTAAAAACAAAACCAAAAACTAGTCGTTTCCCTATATGCTTGGCGTCCCAGCACTGGGAAAGTGGACAAAGGCAGATCTTTGGAGCTGTCTGGCCAGCCAGCCTAACCAAATTGGCTAGCCCCAGGCTAATGAGGACCATGTTGAGAAAACAAAGTGGGTGCCTCCTGAGTTATGACACCAAAGTTGTCACTGGCCTCCAGGTGCATCTGCACCTGAACATACCCCCAAAAATATTTTTTTAAGGGACTGGGAGCTGATGAGATGTTTCAGTGTTAAATGTACTTGTCATGCAAGTCTGACCACCTGAGTTGGACCTCCTAGAGCCAACAATGGAAGGAGAGAACTAACTTCTAAAAGTTGTCCATTATCTTCTACTCATGTGCTATGGCAGGTACACACACAATAATAAAATTTAATGGGGGGGGGGGGAAAGACTGGTTCTGGAGTTCACTGATAGTTCTTACCTAGCATGTGCCAGGCTATAGTAGGTTCAGGCCCTAGTACATACCACATTTTAACAAAAACAAAACCCTTAGGTGGCTAGAAATGGTGACATGTGCCTGGAATGAGCCTACTCTGGACTACAGAAGAAACAGATAGTTAGGGTCTGGAGAAATGGCTCAGCAGTTAAGGGAATTTGCTGTTTTCGCAGAGGACCTGAGTTTATGTCCCAGTATCCATGTCAGGTAGCTTATCACCACCTACCTGTAACTCCAACTCCAGGGAACTCAGTGCTCTTCTGACCACCCTAGGCACCTGTACAAATATGCATATAAAAATAATGTTGAAAAAATACCTGTGACAACCAAGGATTTCACATTTTACTAGGGAGTTTTGTTTTTGTTTTTTTCCTCATAGCCCACTCTAGGCAAGCCCTCTATCACTGAGCAATACACACAGTTCTTGTGATTTTTAAAAACTATTTAAATGGTGTGTTGTCTAACTTGGGCTGGCCTTGAACCTGACATCCCAACTCTTCAGCCTTTTAAGTGCTGGGATTGTAAGTGTACTACACCCAGGAAAGTGGCTATATTCTGTCAACAAATATAGTCAGTCTATAACATGAAAGCAGAGCTGCTTCTGGAGCTCTCTATTTTTGAGAATGTGTTTTACTGCAGCTAGAGCTCACCATGTTTGACTAGACCAGTAATTGTTTCTTCCCCTGCCCAGCACTGGGATTCTCTGTAATTCTTGGTGCACACCATCACACCCAGCTCTTACGTGGATGCTGAGCATGTGAAGTAGGGTTGGTTCTTAATGCATAACAAGCACTCTACCCACTGACTTACCTCCTCAGTCCTTGTCTTCATTATTTTGAAGAGTTTTGATTCTGTGAGCCCCTGAAAAGGGCCAGGTAATCCCCAAACCTCACTATTAAGCACTGGAAGAGGGAGACCAGGAGCTGGAAGTCATAGGAACTTCTAGGACCTTAGTTTTATGCCGTGTGAAATCCATTTCCCCCTTTAGCCACTAGTCCTCGTGGAGAATGGGAAACTAGGGTGTCAAACTAGGATGTCCTGTGCTGACCATGGGGCTCGCTCTCCATAAAGGCCAAGGAAGGAATAGTACTCATTTTGGTGTCTCTTGTTTGCAGTCTCACAGACGGCAGCACAACAAAGATAAACCCTTCAAGTGCCACAATTGTCATCGAGCATACACAGACGCAGCCTCACTAGAGGCTCACTTATCTACACACACAGTGAAGCACGCCAAGGTGTATACCTGCACAATCTGTAGTCGGGCATACACATCGGTAAGTGCTTGCTATTTTCCCTTCCCATACATATCTGTGTCCCTTCTTGATGGAAGTCTGTTGGTGAATAGCTTGCCCCTGCTCTTGATTATTAGAGTCAGTATTCAGATATAATTAGCACCATAAGCAGTAATTCTTCATTCTAAACGTATAAGCTTTTGTGATAGAGAAAGGTTTCAGTTATTTTCTATGAGATTCTAAAACAAGATACTCAAATGGTTTCTTCATTCAGAGATCTTTCCTGCTGCCAGCTCAGTGTCCATGGTGACTTCTAAAGGTCCCACTCCTTTCTTCCCAACTCAAGAGTATCCCTTTATAGACATTACAGAGGAGGAGCCCAGGGTGATTGTTGCAGGTCATCTCTGTCCCTTGCTTTCATCATAACTTCTTTTTACTATCTCTCTCAGGAAACATACCTTATGAAACATATGCGCAAACACAACCCTCCTGATCTTCAGCAACAAGTGCAAGCGGCGGCGGCAGCAGCAGCAGTAGCCCAGGCTCAGGCTCAGGCTCAGGCTCAGGCTCAGGCTCAGGCCCAGGCCCAGGCCCAGGCCCAGGCTCAAGCTCAAGCCCAGGCCCAGGCCCAGGCCCAGGTTTCCCAGGCATCACAGCAACAGCAGCAGCAGCAACAGCAGCCACCACCACCACCACAACCACCACACTTCCAGTCTCCTGGGGCAGCTCCCCAGGGTGGGGGTGGTGGGGACAGCAATCCAAACCCTCCACCCCAGTGTTCCTTTGACCTGACCCCCTATAAGACGGCAGAGCATCATAAGGACATCTGCCTCACTGTCACCACCAGCACCATCCAGGTGGAGCACCTGGCCAGCTCTTAGAGATCCGTTCTGCCATCCACTGGAAAGAGGGAGAAGTTCTGGTCCCTCCTTTGTCAACTCCTCTTGGTGGGAAAGTTCTCTTCTTCCTTGACAAGTCCTGTTTCCAGCTCCTTGGTCCTCAGGCATGGCTTCCTTCAAGACAACCATCCTTAATCTCAGCTGCCCCTGATTGACAAAGGAATCCTGAGCTGATAGTGTTACCCAACAGCCCCATCCAAGCAGAGCTCTTCAAACTGGGGGTTGGTGCTCGAGAGAGGATCTGCTATGGCCTCACATCTTGTCCAGTGTGGGCACTTACCTTTCTCTCTTCTCATCCTCAAAGTTGGGGCCAATGGAAGGCTAGCTGCTGGCCCTCCCAGATAATAGAAGGAAGCTCTAAATGCAACCAGCCTTCCGTTCTACACTTACCTGTAAAAGAACAGGGTTTGCACGTGGCCTGACCCCTGTGAGCCATTTTCTTTTCCTTACATGGTCTCACTTCATATTGGGTGGTGACTGTACCTTTTTATTTCTAAGAGGCACAGTAGCTGATGCATGGTCGCCAAGGTGCCAGAGATTCCCCAGGTGACCCAGGGTGGTATTCAAATGTGGGTTATGATTTTTCCTTGTAGCCTCCATCCATCTCTGTCAACCAAGGGCCTATATACTCTGCCTCACCACCCCAGTCCAAGGAGCTATGAGAACTGTTCTCTGCAAACCCTAGCCAGGGTATTGCAGAGAAGGGAAATGTCAGGGCACACACACGGACTGGACTTAGCTCCCTAGGTGCCACGGTCAGATGCCGGACATGGATTTATATATAAATATATATATATAAATATATATATATATATACCTGCTCATTCACGGCCATCTTTGTTGTAACCATTTCTGTGTTTATAAACTGCATTATCTCAGAATTTTCATATTGATGTTTTATTTTTGTCTTATTTTTCTCCACCTTGTCCTCTGGCCATGGCATTTTAATTTTCTTTTACCTTTTAATTTTTTAAATCATGGCAGATTTCAAAGAAAAGAAAATTAAAATCAGGAATTATACAGTTGTTATAAAGCAATTTAAAAATGAAAAAAAATCTTATGTACAAACTAAGGGGTGTTTTTAGAACATTGTATAGAAATAAATTGATGTTTAAGGATGAGAGCAGTGAGCTACTGATGTAAGCTAGCATGGGAAAGGCTATTTGGGGGAGATACTCAGGACAGCATTAAGGACTTAGACTGGAATGTGTGAAGACTGAGTGCTTGTGTGATAAGCCCCATGTGTATGAATCCTCAGCCATTTTCAGTTTAGGAACATTTGTATACAAATTGTGTCGTGGGGATTGCATTGCCTCCATATGTGAGAGCATTCCCTACCCTTTACCCTCCACACCATCAAAGGGGAGGGCAGGATGTATGTATGGCCTCTTCTAAGGACCTGCACTACCTGTTCCTCCCGTTTTGTCCAAATTCTACTGGGTATTGTGTACATGTTCATGTGTGTGTCATTAGACTGCAGTGCCTAAGACCAGAGGTTTCCAGTCATGGAAACCATAACGAGCTACTGGGCTTAGTACCGAAGAAACTGCAGAATGCAGTGAGCTTCCCGTGATACCGTGCTTATCATGTTCACCTAACAGTGGAAAACAACTAGTTGTACTGGACAGAGCATGATCAAGAAACCTAAGACTTCTCAGTCTACCATAAAAGGATTCGGCCTAATTTCCAAGACTGCTTCATGAAGATCAAATCCTTCATACAGTACTGAAAAACTTGACAAAGTTCTCAGACTTGAGAACTAACAGGCATTTCCTAGTGATGTGGATGAGTAAGACCCATTTAATTTGGGAGTAGGCATCCAGGACAGTATCTAATGTATTACATTGTTACTTAGCTTCCTGATGCTTTTCTCTCCTCATTGACTACTCTCTGACAGCCCTGTTTTCATCACAAGTATTGGAATAAGTACCTCAGTGGGTGAATGTCCATTCCTACTCCCACCCAATGATTAATATTGCCTCGTTGTTTAGAGAAAGTACTGGAGAGAGATTTAGTTATCCCAACAGCATGCTCTAGTAATTAGAATGGGGTTCACAGACTACTGCCATGCTTTAGCATTTGGTCAGTAGTAAATTTGGCGCTTTTTTTTTTTTTTTTTTTTTTTTTTTTTTTTACATATTTGGTATGAGGGAGCTAAAGTTCTGTCTTAAACGTATGCTGTGTGGTGCGATTACTGTGGAGATATATGAACTAGAAATGACAGCTATCTTCAAGACTACCACCACTATACAGTATGCGGTTCGAGTTGTTTCCCTAAGGTATCAGCAACCTGCCAGCCACAATGGATAAATACTTTTGACTAGGGGGATGTCTGATGTCTAGGTGGTCTAGCTATCATAAACCTTGATGACCTGGCCTTTGTTAACGTCATACATAAATTAAAATACAAAGCAAAAATGTGGGATTTCCCGTTAATGGCACAACTGCAAAATCAATGAGTGTTGTGCTGTATGGTGAAAATATGTTGTATAAAGAACAGGAACCTAGCCAGGTGTGGTGGCAAACACCTTTAATTCCAGCATTCGCAAGGCAGAGAGATAGGCAGATCTCTGAGTTCGAAGACAGCCAGGGCTACCTACACAAAGAAACCCTGTGTTGTAAAAAGGAAAAAAAAAAAAAAAAAAAAAAAAAAAAAAAAAAAACCTAGTGAATAGAGGTGCAAAAGTTTTGCAAGGCCTAACAATTTACGAAGAAAGCATCTGCCTCGGAGATTATTCCTGCTTCAGCTTTTGATGACAAATTTCAAAATAAGCAAAGCAAAATAGCTGGATTCCCTAATTCTAGACAAAATAGCTTCTTCCCCCCATTTAGCAAATATTCCTGTTGGGGAGTAAAAAAGTTTGCTAGAGAATGCAAAATGGCGACCTCGTGTGATGTCATACCTGTCTCGGTAACATACTGGGGTCTTAAGGGCGGAAGCGAGCTAAAGCAGCCTCGCTGTGGGCGATCGAGACTAGCCGTGGAAAAAGGTTCAGTGTCGGGCGGATGTATCTGAGGGCGGTAGTTTAGTAAGGGCGGAAGTTCTTTTAAGTACGGAAAGGCTCTAGTCCAAGAATGGCCCCAGCGCCTGTCTAGTTTCAGTCACTTCCGGGGCGGATCGGAAGTTGCTTTGTTTTGCTTCAAGATGGCTGCTGGGATGTATTTGGAACATTATCTGGACAGTAAGAGCAGACTAAAGAAGCGGGTCATGGGTCATGGAGTGGCGTGGAGGGTCCGGGTTGACAGAATCTATGGCTCTGAGGTCCTGGTGGCCTGAAGCTCACAGTTGGGAAAGAGTTGCGTGGGAAGATTTATTCGAGAGTGGAGGAGGAGGGGGCGGGGCAGTGGCAATAGAGGCCTCGCTGATGTAGACCAGGGTAGGACTCTCCGGTGGGGTCAGGGCTATGTTTTGAAGCGTGAAGCGTTTGTGGTAGCAGGGAAGGTATTTCCAGACTCTGTTCTTCAGGGCCCTTGGCCCTGGGCTAGATTTTTCTCTCCTGAGTTGCGCAGGGTCGGTATCACTCATAGCCATTTGGAACAGCTGCAAATATTTGATATAGTTTCCTTTAGTCATTTATGTCCCCAAAGTGGCTTCTCATGAAGCTAGGTGGATGGAATGGAACGACCCCTTGAGTTGTTAAACTGGAACGCTTGCATAATCCAGTTCTCATAAAATGAAGTATGTGTGTTGACAGACTGGGAAGTTAGAAAATAGGCTGGAAGTAGGTTAAACTGTTTTATGCCAAATTAAGACGTTTGCATCGTAAAATAGAGTATGGATTTTAATAAAGGAAAGAAACCTATCAGTTCATTGTAGCAGTCCAAGTCAGAAATGCAAGCCTGATCTTAGAGAATGACAGAAGTTTTTAGTTAAACATGACAAGATTTGGTTAACTTCATGATTTGAGAGAGAAGGAGAAATCAAGGTGAATTCTGCAGTGTAGGGGATTTGGGCATCATAGCATTATATTTACTTTTTGCCTTAGATGTAAGCATAGTCTGTGACAGTAAGATTATTCAGGGAAAAGAAAGTGAGCAAGTAAGAAAAAAAGATAGCAAAAAAAAAAAAAAAAAAAACCCTCAAGAAAACAGCCTTTAAAGGATTAGACATTCGTGTTGAAGTTGCTGGGTCTATGATTTAGTAATTGTAAGACTAGTAGGAAGTAATCGCTTGCATGAGAAGACAGTGCCTACAAGGGATGGATCATTTGATTTGATGATCTGTTGGTGTCTTAAAGTAATCCCAGGAGCTAATGTTGAAGGTCCTTTTTGTTGTTTTGTTTGTTCAGACAGTGTCTACTCTACATAGATAGCTGAGAATGACCTTGAACCCCAGGGCCTCTTTCCATCTCTGTGCTGAGATTCTAAGCATGTGACACCATGCCTGGTTTAATAGAAACGTTTTTAAAGTTTGAGTTGGCTTTGTAGAAACACTTTAAAAATTGGTGGGTGTGGTAGCACATGCCTTTAATCCCAAGTCTTAGGAAGTACTCTGAGTTTGAAACCAGCCTGGTCTATGTAGTGAGTTCTATGTAGCCAGCCAGGGCTACATAACGAGATCCTGTCTCCAAAGGGGGAGGGGGGAGTGACGGTAGAGCACTTGTCAGCAGGTGCAAGCCCCTGGGTTTGAGGTTCATTCTCCACCACCAAAGCAGGGGTGGGATGGGGGGTTGGGGGGAAGAGTGTTGAGATTAAGACTTTGTATATGCATGGCAATTCTAAAACATGAGGGAACTTTAAAGTAGATACAGACATGTATCTGGTCCTGGAAGGTTAGGGAGACAGACACTGAGTAACTGTGTTAATTATTTCCTTACGGTTGGCTATAAATACTAAAAGTATTCCCCAGACTACTTTGTCTCTTATCCCAGTCTGGGAAAGTCAAATTCTGGGCTGCGCTTTGAAGAATGAGCAGAAATTGAGTGGGCGAGTAGGTAAGGTGGGGGTGGTATAAGGAAGATGACACTCTTGGGAACCAGCCAGTGAATGTGAGGCAGTCAGAAGGCCAGCGCAGAGCAGAGAGATGGCATGGCTAAGTGAGATGAGCAAGGTAGAAAGCACAGAGCACAAAAAACAAGGGGTTACTGGAAGGTCATAGTGTGTATAATGAGTACTGAAGGAGCTAGGTTGGTACGTTTATGTTGGGGGCAAAGAAGGTAGAGGCAGAAACTGAAAATAAGGGGAAACTGGTTTGTAGAGTGTTTCCAAAGAGGACTCGATGGTCACACAGAGACAGGCTAATTGAAAAAGAGAGGTGAACCTTCTCTTTTGAAAAAAGGCAAATGGATCCTTCACAGATAAATCCATCATATCAGGGCTGGGATGTTAGGAGTGCTTAGCTAGCATGCAGGAGACCCTGGGTTTGACCCCCAACACTGCATAAATCTGGCATATTGACACAGAACTATTAGGTCCCAACACATGGGAGTTTGATATTCAGTAATCAGAAATTCATTGTTGGTCATCCTTGAATACAAAACAAGTGTGAGGCCAGCTTAGACTACAGAGATCCTGTTGCCAAAAGAAAAAAGTTTCAAATGAGCGGAAACTGAACTGCACTTTAATGTTGAGTTACACATTTTTGGAAAATGATTTTTTAAATAATTTTTAGTTATGCGTTGTGTGGGTGGTGTCTGTGTGTATATGCAGGAGTACAAGTCCCCTTGCAACCCAGAAGCGCTACAACCAAACTGTGGTCCTCTGCAAGAGCGGTCAGTGCTCTTACCCACTGAGCATCCCTCCAGCCCCTGCCCTTTGGTCTGTTTGGGTTTTTGTTTATTTGTTCTGTTTTGTTTTGCCTTTGAAAACAATATCTTAAGCCAGGCAGTACTGGCTCATGCCTAATCCCAGACTTGGGAGGCAGAGGTAGCTGGATCTCTGAGTTTGGGACCAGCCTGTTCTACAAAGTGAATTCCAGGACAGCCAGGGCTGTCTCAAAAACCAAACCAAAACAAAACAAAAGAAAACAAAACAACATCTTATATAACCCAGGCTGGCTTCAAATTCTTTATGTGGCTGAGGCTGACTTAAGCTCCTAACTCTTCTGCCTCCTGCTGCTTCCAGCTTGAACTTCATTTTAAAAGGGGCTCTAGGGCCAGTGAAGAGCTCAGTGGTAGAGCACTTGCCAAGACCAGTATAATCCAGTAACTATTTCTCTGTCTTGCCAGGTATTGAAAACCTCCCGTTTGAATTACAGAGAAACTTTCAGCTCATGAGGGACCTAGACCAAAGGACAGAGGGTACGTACAGAATAGCAGGCTCTTGCTGATCATCATTTCCCCCTCTTTTCTGTTATGTCTGGGCATCATGTGTGTGCCTGGTGCACAAAGAGGTCAGAAGACAGTATCAAATATCTTGGAACTGGAGTTAAGGATGGTTATAAGCCACCATGTGGGTACTGGGATCTGAACCTGGGTCCTCTGCAAGAGGAGTCTGTGTTCTTAACCACTGAGCCATCTCTCCAGCCTGCCTTTCATGGAATTCTTAAAAGAAGATAATGGCCATCCTCGTTGTACTTTTCCACATCAAATGGAATATTGAGACAATGACTCAAGAGGTTAGAGATGCCGAGCTGGCCAAACAGCTCGGGGGTAAAGGTGTTTGCTGCCAAGCCTGATGATCCTGGTCCAGGGGGACCCACATAGTAGGAGAAAACCTCCAGAAGTTGGTCCTCTGACCACCACCTATAGGTCATTGTACACATTCATCCACACACAAATTATACGCACAAAATAAATAAATATGGTTCGTAGATGTTATGATTTTTGTGCCTTCTTCAAGAATTCAAGACACTGACCATAGATGTTTCTACTGTGTTTGTTACCTTTGCGTGATAGCCATAAATTATACCTCATTGCATTGACTATGTTACTATGCAGTACACAGGACTTTAGACTACAGCTCATATTGGTTGACAAGAACTTTGCTGATAAGCTCTTAAAAAGAAAGAAGGGTCAGGCATGGAAGCACAGACAGATCTTTTTGAGTTCAAGATCAGCCTACTCTGTATATTGAATTCCAGTTCCAGGCCAGCTAGGAAAACATAGACTCTGTTGGGGGTTGGGGGGATCTTTCAGGTACATACTCAGTTTAAGGTATGCCTGGGTTATATGAGACCTTTTCTCTAGATAGAGAAAGATAGATAAATAGACAGACAGACAGACAGACAGATAATAGGTAAAACTAACCAATAATAATAAAAACAAGAAAGAAGACAGAAGGCTTTAGTAATCATCAGGAGATCTGTACTGTATTCTTCTGCTCACAGATGCATTAGCTATTATCTCAGGCCTTGGGCATGGAGCAGATTTGGCTACACTGAGGTATCCATCTGGAGCCTAAGAAATGCTCAGGTTGGTCTGCTCTAGATTTAAGGTTCGTGTTGAAAGTGCCCTCATACCATTCTATGTAGCCATGTTCAAAGATGTAACAGGCTAGGATATGAGGAGGCCATGTCGTGAGTTACTCTGGCTACGTTTCTTCATGAGGTGTATTAACTAGCATCCTGGACATCTGCCACTGACAGCAGCCTGCCAGATGGCTAGAATCGCTGGATTCCTTGGTAATGAAAGTCTTAGGTCTTGAGTCCGTGCTCAGAGACCAGCTGGGGATTATGGGATTGTGTACTTTCCCCACTTCTTTTGAAGGCCTGGAGTGCAGTGACATATGAGCATAGCATGCTCCCCATCGCTCTCATTGTCTGGTGTTGCACTGTTACAGTCTTTGCCTCTTTCCATTGGTGTTTGTGTGAGCCCCACCTAATGTTAGGGAATGGACATCTTCAGGTCAGTGTTCTGGGACATCACCAGCCCTCTTAGTAGTAAGGTGTTTGGACCAATATCTAAGATGAACAAAATGACAAGAATTGTAAGCAAATTGCAACTGATAATCGGCAGCTGGTTGCTCACACCTATAATCCCAACGTTCAGGAGGCTGAGGCAGGAGGACTTGCTTCTGTTTGAGGTCAGCCTGGACTACATAGTACCGTTCCAAGACATCATGAGCTACAGAATGAGACTTGGTGCTCAAAAAAAATGGAAAGAAAAAGTAGGGTGGACAGTTAAGGATGCAGATGCAGCATTCCTTGGAGGAATTAGGACCTAATGTTAAAATTTCAGACCCAGAACTGTGGCGGCTTAGGCAGGAGGATCCTAAATTTGAGGTCAACCTGGGCAAGACCCTATCTCAAAGAGAAAGAGATAGAGAGCTCTGGAGGCCACAGCACCAATAAGTGACTCGCCCTGGTTTGCAGCAGTCAGGTCTGTCAGGGATGCGATTAAAACAAGAAACAAGGTGACCTTTGGAACCAAACTCATGAGGCAAGCAGCAAGCAAGCCCTGCAAAGGAGCATCCTGAACCGACATCAGAAATGCACTTCATGTTAACATGTACACGTCTGAGAATCCCACAATGCCTTTCGGGAGTCTCAGTTCCAACTCTGGCAGCCATGTTTTCTGCACCTTGAAGGCACGTTAAGACAGTCTCAGCCAGGCACAGTGGCCTATGTTTGTAATCCCAGTGATAGGGAATCAGAGGCAAGAGGATATCCCAAGTTCAAGGCCAGCCTGAGCTACATACTGACACTGTCTCAAAACAAACCAGAAAAGGCCCAGATAATTTCAGTGTTGCATTTCCTGAGCACAAGGCACAGTACTCGTGAGCATACATTTCAGTTGGAAGGTTTTGATGGCCAATGGAAAAGGTGCAAGGAACAAGAGGAAGAAGTGTGTCTCACCCGGCCAGCAGGGGCCTTTGTGACCAGGCCTCTGTCTCTGTTGTAGACCTGAAGGCTGAAATTGACAAGTTGGCCACTGAATATATGAGTAGCGCCCGCAGCCTGAGCTCCGAGGAAAAACTGACCCTTCTCAGACAGATCCAGGAGGCCTATGGCAAGTGCAAGGAATTTGGTGACGACAAGGTGCAGCTTGCCATGCAGACCTATGAGATGGTATGGCCCTGTTCATGGCTTCCCACCTATCTCCCAATCTAACCCTCAGGGGCTTAGGCCTCTCCTTCAGCTGTGTTGGGATCTGTTCTGGGTCTGGGAGAGTCATCAGTCTACCTTAGCTGTGCTCCTCCCATTGGAACCAGCCTTGTACCTCTTCCCTTCTTCCTCCCCCACAGGTGGACAAACATATCCGGCGGCTGGACACAGACCTGGCCCGTTTTGAGGCTGATCTGAAGGAGAAACAGATCGAGTCAAGTGACTATGACAGCTCTTCTAGCAAAGGCAAAAAGAGTGAGGAGGGGGTGGGGCTGTGAGATGCGGGCGAGGACTCAGGGAGAAGAGGGTAACTCCAGCTATGAGGGAGCAGCATCACCTGGAACCGGATCAAAGAGGACTTAACCCATCTTTCTATCTCTGCCTTCCGGCTTACCCTTTCTTCCTAGAAGGCCGGACCCAAAAGGAGAAAAAAGCCGCCCGTGCCCGTTCCAAAGGGAAAAACTCAGATGAAGAAACCCCCAAGGCTGCCCAGAAGAAGCTAAAACTTGTGCGCACGTGAGTATGCCATAGGACGCCCACTTCCCAGCCAGCACTGCCTCTCGCCACTTTCCCTGTCTTCTGTGCCAGTAACTCTCTATCACTTTGGTGTCTGCTGGGTGGAGAAGAAGCCATACATCATTTGCCTCACCATGATCTTCTGGCACCTCAGAGCTCAGGTTGTAGCTTCCCTTCCTGCAGATGACATTTGTCTTCCTCTTGGCATGCAGAAGTCCTGAGTATGGGATGCCCTCAGTGGCCTTTGGCAGTGTCCACCCCTCTGATGTGTTGGATATGCCTGTGGATCCCAACGAACCCACATATTGCCTTTGTCACCAGGTCTCCTATGGAGAGATGATTGGCTGTGACAACCCAGATGTGAGAACTGTTTGCCTCAGGATTGGGGGAGGAGCTCTGAGGGGCGTAAGGGCATGAGCAAGGAGGAGGTGATTGGGTTGACAGAGGGACGGACCGCAGAACAGGATGCTGGTTGGACTGGGCTGCCTTGAGACTGCAGGAAGTTTCTCAAAGGCTCGGGAGTCTGCAGATGGCGCCTTTCCCCTCCACCCTGACTGCTGTGTTCCACCTTCCTTTTCCAGTGTTCCATCGAGTGGTTCCACTTCGCCTGTGTGGGGCTGACAACCAAGCCTCGAGGGAAATGGTAAGTGACAGAGCTGTGGCAGGAGCTGGATACTGTCCCCGAGCTAGGTGGAAGGCAGAACACAGGCTTCACTTACTTTTTGTCTGCCCTGCTCTTCTTTGTCGGTTTTTAGGTTTTGCCCACGCTGCTCCCAAGAACGAAAAAAGAAATAGGTTTCCTTGGATTCCATCCCAGATTTCTTCCAAATCCCCTTGACCTGGGCTAGTGACAGAGAGGAATGCCTCTGCTGGGGACTGGGGGTCCAGGGAGATGTCGACAGTGCAGTACCGTCATCCCTTCTCCCTCTCCCTACTCCTGGTGCTGAGGCTGCATCCATACCCCGGTAGGGAGGGTGCCACAGCCAGTGACGGTATGTGCTCTCGCCCCACCCTCTCCTTCAGAGGGAAGTACCCCCTCACTGTCTTTTGCCTCCATGGTGAGGCTGGTGCTGTATTTCAGAGGGAGGGACCTCTTCATTCCCCTCGCTTTGTATTTAAGGGCTGGGGCAGTGGAGTGGGGCACTCTCCCAGTCTCCTCTACCCTTCCTTCCCCTACCGGGGCTAGGTAGGGTAAACTTCTTCATTCTCTTTCCCTTTTCCATGGTGAGGGATCTTCTAGATCATTTGGGCTCTGGCCTAGTTGAGTGATTACCCCTTCCTCTGTGACCCGGGGATTTATCCTGACTTTGAATGGAAGAGGGGCAAGGTGGAACACAGATAACTCACATGTAAAAGGAATTGGGGTAGGTAAATAAAAGCTATCCACGCTAGCCTGCTGTGTTTATTGTAGAGCCTGTTTCCGCACATGTGATAAACATTCTTTTTGCATTCCCTGGATTGGATGAGAGGCAGGAGGATGGCTTGCCGGAAGTAGGCCAAGACATGAAACCCAAAATGGTACTTGTCCTGTGATATCTACAACTTGTCCCCCTGAAGGGGTGTCTTGCATTGGGGGACTCAGAACTTTGTAATTATGCATCTGCTCTCCATGAAGCACTTTTCACCTGATTCCAATAAATCATGTATTTGTGTTATGTATGTGTGCTGTGATAGTGTTAGCTTGATTTCTTTTAAATACAAAATACACGTTTAACCTCAGCTCTGTGGAGGCAGAGGCAGGCAGATCTCTGTGATTTTGAGGCCAGTCTGGTCTACAGAGCGAGTTACAGGACGGGCTTCAAAGCTAGAGAAACGCTGTCTTGAAAAATAAAATAAAATTAAGTATTTTCTTCCCATCCTCCAGTGCTGGCCACCTGCCCCCCTGGAAACAGTAAGTCCCCTGGACCACTGAACCATCCTTACGCCTGTGTTCGCCTTGGTGGACCCTGTGTTCACTTTAACTTTGGCCCTGTTTCTTACCTGAGGCGTCCTCTCTAGCTCCTGGCCAGGTTGGCCCTGCCTTTGTTTCAGATACTCCAGCTCTGCTGCCCAGAGTGCTGTCTGTATCAACAACTAGGTTTCCATCCGACTGGGTACATTATTTCTCTAAGCCCCGTTGTTTATCTGTAGAAGAGGCGGTAGTACACACTTGGGACTTGGGCTAAATGGCAGAAAGCAGTACACAGGGCCGGGATTTTAGCTCTGCAGTAGGAGAAGCGAGGATCTAGGTTCAGTTCTCTGCAGCGCAAAAAACAAATTCAAAGAAAGTAGAACCGAGCATCAGAGGGCTTACTCTTCGGGGTTGCTGCCGCCTGTAGCGTCTGCCTTGGGTCCAAGGGCCCCCTACTGGTGCAGCTCACAGGAGTGCACCTCGCGGCCTGGCCCCGCCCTCACCTTTTGTGACGTAGCACCTCGCCTCCTGCCTCCGCGTTAGCAGCCCGTGACCCACAGCTCTCCGAGGCTTGGCCCGTTGGAGGTCGCTTAGGTGGATCTTCCCAGGCCATGATGAAACTAGCTGCTGGCTTCCTTCTGCTGCTTCTGAAAGGTGAGAGGCTAGGGTTGGCCGGTTGGAGACTGCCCTGGTCTGAAAACGCGGGTGGATCTTCCCTGGGGTTTCCATATGACCCCAAAGGGCTTGAGGCCCCTGCCTCCTGAGAGCCCTTTTCGTGGGTTCTGGGACTGCTGTCTCCATGTGGTCGAATTGGACCACTTCCTGACTTCGGAGAGGTGGGACTTTTATCTCTTGTTGCTACAAGTGTCTAGGGACACTCTAGTCATCAGGCATCACCCAAGACACTCCCCCCCCCCCAACACGCGCACAAACACACCAGTTCTTAATTAATGGGGAGTCAGCTTCTAGTCTGGGTCTGAGCACTGGACGTGGAGTATGTTTGGGGTAAGGTTCATTCTCATCTATCCCCTACTCTGCAGTGCGGCTCCTGCCTGTAACACCTCTGTCAGCTGAGGAGTCATCTTCGGCCTCCACTCCAGGCAGCCCTCTCTCATCCACTGAATATGAACGCTTCTTCGCCCTGCTGACCCCCACCTGGAAGGCAGAGACCACCTGCCGCCTCCGTGCAACCCACGGCTGCCGGAACCCCACTCTCGTCCAGTTGGACCAATATGAAAACCACGGATTGGTACCAGATGGTGAGGGCCAGACCGGTGGGGAAGCTTAGGCTCAGGGCAAAAGCTTCGTGCTCATATAGAAGGCAGGGGGCGGATATAGCTGGCAGCTGAGCCAAGGTCACAGAGACCTTGACTCAGCCCCCGCATTCCTATAACCACACACACCATGGGTGCTGTCCTCCTCAGGTGCTGTCTGCTCTGACCTCCCATATGCCTCCTGGTTTGAGTCCTTCTGCCAGTTTGCTCAGTATCGTTGCTCCAACCATGTCTACTATGCCAAGGTGAGAAGGGTTGGGTCTCGTGATCCAGAACCAAGGTAGAGGCTGTGGGAGCGGGAAATTGAGGAAGGACACCATTTAATTCGTGTTCCCTGTCAGTCTGCCAAGATGAGTACCGTCTCCGGTGCTCACAGGGGCTGAACAACCCTTGTTCCTGTGAGTAAAGGAGAGAAGAGATCCCAGGAAGAGGTAGGGAAGGTGCTCACAGGGGCTGAACAACCCTTGTTCCTGTGAGTAAAGGAGAGAAGAGATTCCAGGAAGAGGTAGGGAAGGTACCCCTTCCATTGCTTCAAAGGGTCCACGTTTTAATTCAAGTCAGCTGGGAAAGAGTGAAGGCAAGCACATAGCCTAAAAAATGCCCTTTCTTAGGACAAGGGGCTCCACCAGGGACTCTGGGAGCTGTGACTTGCTTGGAAGGGTCTGAGGGATCCCCAGGAGCAGGAGTGGCTCTCTGGAAAAGGCATCCCTGCTCTTCCTCCTCCCTTGCAGCGAGTCCGGTGCTCCCAGCCAGTCTCCATCCTGTCACCCAACACTCTCAAGGAGGTAGAGTCTTCCGCAGAAGTTGCTCCTACCACCATGACCTCAGCCATGGCATCGCATGCTACAGGTGAGACCTCCCAGTGTTGGGAACCCACAGTTCCCAGGGGTCAGGGGTCAGGGGTCAGGGGTCAGGCCTTCCTTGGCAGTAAGAACAGTGATGAGTCGTGGATTGGAGAAGCTTTCTTTGCATGAAATAAGTCAAGACTCTCTTGTCCCAGAGTTTCTTCCGCTATTACTTAAGGTCTTTGTCTGAATCCATTTTTCCTAGTTCCAAAGACAGGTTGGCCTCAAATTCATAGATATCTCCAGTTAATAGCCCTGGCTACTCTTCCAGAGAACCTGGACTCAATTCCCAGCCCTCAGGGGGCAGGCCTGGGAAATCCAACGCCCTCTTCTGGTCTCCACAGGCACTGCATGAACATGATACATGGACATATATTCAGACAAAACACCCACACACATAAAATGAAAATAAAAATAAAAGCCTTCTGGGTCTCTTGCAAATTAATATCTTCATTTTAGAGAGTATTTGGACTAGGAGCATAGCTCAATGGTAGAACATATGCTTAGCATGTATGAGGCTCTAGGTTTGAATCCTAGTAACCCCCTCCTTCAAATAGAAGGAATTAGTTGCTAGTTCCTTAGACTACATGGTGTTCTCTAGATGAATAAAGGTAACATTTGTTCTAGGGAACAAGTACACTTGCAAGCAAATGGAAAGGTGACACAAACACACAAAAAAATACATTTGTGGTGGTAATGTCTTTTAATTTTGATATTAATTTATTGATTGTATGTACAAATATATTCACATGTGTCTGTATGTGTGCATAGTATGTGGAAATCAGGGGTCAACACTGAGTGTCTTCCTCAGTCACCACATTTATTTTGAGACTGGGTTTGACTATGTAGCCCAGGCTGGCCTGGAACCCACAAAGATCTGCCTCTCCAGAATGCTGAGATTAAAGGCATGTACCATCATGTCTAGCTTAGACCACCTTAGTTTTTGAGACCAGTTCTTTCAAGAAACTTGGAGCTGGGACTAGAGAGATGCCTTAGTGGTTAGAGCACTGACTGTTCTTACAGAGGACCTGGGTTCAATTCCCAGCACCCACATGGCAGCTCATAACTTTCTGTAACTCCAGCTTGTGGTGATGCAATGCTTTTAATCCTAGCACTTGGGAGAGGCAGAGGCAGGTGGGTCTCTATGAGTTCGAGGCCAGCCTGGTCTACAGAGTGAGTTCCAGGACAGCCAGAGCCACACAGAGAAACCCTGTCTCAAAAGCACAAAAAATAAAAAACAAACAAAAACAACTCTCTATAACTCCAGTTTCAGGAGATCTAGTAACCTCATCCACACATACATCATGCAAAACACCAATGCACATAAAATAAAAAGTAAATAAATCATAAAAAAGACACATTTTTAAAAAACAAAGAAAGAAGAGAAAAGAAATTACAAGCTGCTGGGCAGGGTGCCACAGGCCTTTAGTCTCAGCACATGGAAAGCAAATGGAACTCTATGAATTCTAGACCATCCAAGACTACATAGCAAAACTTTGTCACAAATAATTGTGGGGCAGTGGACTTGCACACCTTTAATCCCAGCACTCAGGAGACAGAGGGTCTCTGAGTTTGAGGCTAGCCTGGTCTAGCTAGTTCCAGTATAGCCAGGGATACACAGAGAAACCCTGTCTTGCAAAAGCAAAAATTAATTAATAAAAAAGCCTGGAGCTCACTGGCTAGCCTGTAAACCCTCAGCATCCTTCTTCCCCACCTTCCCAGGACTGAGATTACAGGCACATGTTGCCATACCCAGCTTTTATATAGACTTTAAAAGCCGAACTCAAGTCTCCACGCTTGCAAGCTCTTTACCAATCACCCTCCAGACCCAATTTCTTGATTTAAAACAAACAAAACAAACCCTTGTGTTATTGTTTTAGAGACAGGGTCTCCAGCCTCAGGTAGCCTCAAACTCAGTATGTATCTGAGGTTGGATTTGATGTCTGCCCCATCTCCACCTCCCAGGTGCTAAGACCCCAGGCCTGTACCGCCATGGTGGCACATAGAAATGCGGTTTCTCCAGGGGAAGGAAGTCTGATCCCTTCTTTTCTCTTCTCTTTCTTGGTGTCTTCTGCACCTTGCTGCAGCCACAGAGCGCCAGGCCTTCCAGCCTTGGCCTGAGCGGCTCAACAACAACGTGGAGGAGCTGCTGCAGTCATCCTTGTCCCTGGGAGGCAAGGAGCAACAGGGCAGCCGGAAGCAAGCACAGGAACAGCGCAAGCAGGAGCAAGTTCAAGAGCATAAGCAAGAGGAAGGGCAGGAGCAAGAGGAGCAGGAAGAGGAGGAAGAAGAGGAGGAAGCAAAGCAGGAAGAGGGGCAGGGGACAGAGGAGGGCCTGGAGTCAGTGTCCAGTCTGCAGTCAGACTCAGAGCCCAAGTTTCAGTCTGAATCGCTGTCTTCCAACCCTTCCTCCTTCACTCCCCGAGTCCGAGAAGTGGACTCTGCTCCACTGATGATGGAGAATATCCAGGAGCTCATTCGGTCAGCCCAAGAGATGGATGCAATGAATGAACTGTACGATAACTCCTGGAGAAGCCAAGGCACTGGCAGGTACAGGAAATTGTGACTTCCTCATGGGCCCTGCCATCCCTGCTGCCTTCTTTGGAATTGCGAAGCCCACTTACCAGCTTTGGTCTCCAGACCCACTCAGATCTGCTTAGGCTTCAGGCAAAACTAGCAATGGCGGGCCCCTCCTGTCCTGTGCCCATCCTTGTTTTAAGCCCCACCCTGGGTTCTGGTCTTATCTCTGGCCTTGATTAGCACTAAAGCCTTCAGAAAGTTATTTCTCCATTTTGTTGTTGTTGTCGTTGTTCTTTAATATTTATTTTTACTTAGGTGTATGTGTGTATGTATGTCTGTATATGTATGTCTGTGTGTGTGTGTGTCTGTGTGTGTGTGTGTGTGTGTGTGTGTGCACATGTGTGCAGGTGTCCATGGAGGCCAGAAGAGGGCGTCGGACCCCCTGAGACTACAGTAAATGGGTGGTTGTGAGCTGCAAGAGTGGGTACTGGGGACCAAACTTGGGTCCTCTGGAAGAGCAGCAAGTGCTCTTATCCACTGAGCCGTCTCTCCAGCCGCTGTTTCTCCATGTTGGACTTTAGTTCCTCTTTTGTAAAGTAGGCAGTTGGTCCAAGGTCCCCTCAGGCTGCAGGATGGAGGTCCTCTGCTAAGCACGCTGAATGCATATGATCAAGACCAACTGCTCAGCGGAGGGGAAGAGTAGATGTGGTTTTTCTGCCCCACCCCTCTAGCCCATCCCCACTAGTCTGTACTGTCTTCTTGCAGCCTCCTGCAGCTGCCCCACACGGAGACCATGATGGTGCTATGCTATTCCATTATGGAGAATACCTGCACCATGACTCCCACAGCCAAGGCCTGGAGCTACATGGAGGAGGAGATCCTTGGCTTCGGGGATTCGGTATGTCCACCATGCTATTTAATGGATACATGCCACTGGACATCCCATGGGCCTGGCACTGTGTGAGCCATGGGTGAGGGGGCTGGGCAATGAAAGCATGAGGCATAGCTGAAGAGATTCCTGGAAGGACATCTCTGGCCACCATAGAGGAAGGTTCAAGACCTAGTCTGGAAGCCAGTCCCATCTAGAAAGCATTCTTCAGATCTTCAAGTTGTTAGGCTATAAGCCATGCTTGAATCCTGTTCAGCATCTTCAGTACCTCTCTTTCCAGAAGGTTCATAGAGCCTACTCCTGTTGAGTCTGGTGGTGCAGGCTGTAGTCCCGGCTGCTTAAGAGGCTGAAGCAAATGAGTCACACGTGGAATGGGCAGCAGAGTGAATGCAACTTAGTAAGACCCAGTCTCAAAAACAGTGAACAAACAGAGGGCTGAGGATGAAGCTCAATGGTAGAGCACTTGCCTAGCGTGCAGAAGACCCCAGGTTCAACCCCCCAGTACCAAAAAATAGTATACACAAAAACCATTTGTATTAGGATTTTCTGGAAAAGCAGAACTGGTAGAATGAATATATATTAAAAGGGTATTTATTAGATTTGCTTACATGATGCAGTCTATATAGTCCAACAATGGCTGGAGAGGCTGGGAACCTGGTAGTTACTTAATCTGTGAAGCTGAACGTCTCAGAGGCCCCAGACTGGCACTGGAGGCCTAAGGATTCCTGCAGAGCTGCCGGTCTTCAGTCTACGTTGGAAACCCAAAGAAGCTGATTCCAATATCAGTAAAGGAATGCTGCATCAGCACAATAGATGGGCTTGCCAGCAAGCATGAAGGCAAGCAGGCAAAAAGCAAAGCTTGCCTCTCCCTTCTCCCTATTTTCTGTGCTACTGTCATCCTGCCTGGATTGGGTTGTTGTACTTTTCCATTGACCTTAATCACAGGACACAATGACAGTAAGAGATGCTCTAAAGCAGTGGTTCTCAACCTGTGGGTCATGACTCCTTTGGGGAACCCATATCAGATAGCCTGCATATCAGATATTTGCTTTATGATTCTTAACAGTAACAAAATTACAGTTATGATGTAGCAACAAAATAACTTTATGGTTGGGGTCACCGCAACAGGAGGAACTGTGTTAAAGGGTCGCAGCAGGAGAAAGGTTGAGGACCAGAGACCTAAAGTGTCCTCTGCACTCCAGACATAATCTTATCTCCATTATGAAGAAGGGATCCAGTTTCCCCTTGGTAGTCTGGATCAATCACCCCTTCTAACATTTTTTTCTTCTTAGCTTGTTGACTTCAAAGTATAATGAGTCCAAAGTGGCCAGGGGGATGTCTTAGCTTCCAATGAAATGTAATGTTTCTTGTGAATCCTGGAAGGAGCATTCCCCCTTATGGAACTAAAACTTCTAGGCTAACAGACCATAAAGTCCAAGGAACTGGAAGAAAAAGAAATATCCCTAGGGGGTCACTAGAGGCAATAATGAGTGGTACCTATTCCCGTTTCCACTCCTTGCTTCCTAGACCATGAATCCTGGCTACAGAAGAAATACTAGTGTATACTGGAGGTTGATTCAAATCATATAAAATCTTCTGAAAAACACTGCCCCAGCCCTCTAGGCTACTCCCATCTAATTGGCACTGTAACTGTTTTTAAAAGCCATTCCAAGGACTGGAGCAATGGCTCAGTGGTTAAGAGTACTGGTTGCCCTTCCAAAGGACCCAGGCTTAATTCTAACCACCCATATGGTGATTCACACCATCTGTAATTCAAGTCTCAGGGGAATCTGATGCTCTCTTTTGGCCTCCAAGGGCACCAGGCATACATGATGATCAGATATGCACACAACATAAAATTCAAAGAATAAAAACTCATCCACCGTTCTATCAAGCCAGCTCTTCAGGGTGATGGGAAACATGGTAAGACCAATGAAATCCACCAGCATGGGCCCACTGGCCACTTACTTGACTCCGAAGTGAGCTCCTTGATTATAGAAGCAAAGCTATGTGGGACACCATGGTGATGGATAAGGCACTCTCTGAGTCCCTGAATGACTTCACCAGGAACATCGTGTGCAGGAAAGGAAACTGGATAAGTACTCAAGTAAGGAGAACACAGTGCCACCTGCCGTTAGATGGATAGCTGTTGCCCTGGGGACAGGTACCATAATCTGTGTCAACATTCTCCAAACAAGCAGGACTGGTTGAATGTATATTGAAAGATTTTCTTAGATTGTCTTACATGATATGGTCTGGATAGTTCAGAAATTGCTGCCTCACACTAGAGAGACCAAGAATCTGGGAGTTGTTCAGTCCTCGAGGCTGTGTCTCGACAGTCCCAATCAGGCACTAAAGCATGGGAGGTTCCTGGAGAGCAGCTGGTCTTCGGTCCACATCGGAATCCCAAAGAAGACGGTTCTAACATTGGCGAAGGAATGCAGGAGCAACAGGGTAGATGGACTTGCCAGCAAGAATGAAGGCAGAGAGACAAAAAGCAAAGCTCCTTTCTCCCTTTTTAAAATCAGGGTTACCAGCCTACATTTAGGGTGGGTCTTTCCACTGTGGTCAAGGAAATCCCTCACAGGAATGCTCAGTGGCCTGCCTGTTAGTTGATTTCATGGAATTGGTAAAGAGATTCCAGTTCCAACACATCTTCCCATTTAGCAAGTCCATTCCCAGAAAGATATGTGCTTTTTTTTTTTTTTTTTTAAGTGTGTCTTTGTTGTCATTGTTATTGTCTGAGGCAAGGTCTCTGTCACGTAGGCTGATCTGGAGCTCCCAGGTTCAAGTGACCTTCTCTCAACCTTGGGAAAAGTTAGTAGCTGGGGTACAGGTGCACCCTAGCACACACAGCTCCTTGGTTTTGAAACAGTACAATTTAGCAAACAACCACTAGCTGACCTACCATTCAGTCGTCTGTTTCTTCCACAAACACTGATTGGGTACCAACTGTCTGCTAGGCACTTGGGATGCTGGCAGCGTACAAAGCAGATTCGATGCTTGCTCTCTTGGAAACTAGCTGGGGAGAAAGAGATGTAAAAATAAGACTGGAGTGTGATCAGTGGGAGAGTTGCTTTTATATCCAAGGCACTTGAATTCAATACCTGGTCCCTCAACCACGGAACTGGGCACTGTGAGAAGATCAGCACTGGGAAGGGACAGGGAGAAAGTGCCACTGTCCTCAAGGTGCTGAGAAAGCAGCCGGTGACATCAACAGGCCAGCCTGTGTGATTGCAATGATTAGAGAATGTTATTAGGGGAACTGGAGTTTTAAACTGAGACCCGAAGAGACTTAAGGCAAAGTAAGGGGCCCAGTGGAAGGTTCCTGGTAGAGAGAACAGTATGCACATGCGCACAAAGGCTCCGCCGCAAGCAAGACCTGAATGTCCCTGAAGAGCTCAGAATGAACATATTTTCTGGCCGGAAGAAGCCTGAGCCTGATGTGGGAGGTTCAAGTGGAGTGGGCAGTATTATCAAAGGGTGTGCTGGAGAGAGGATTTTTAGAAGTGTAAGTTCAGAGGTCATAGACTCAGGGTAGTGTGCTTGGATAAGGGAACAGAGTCCGTTTTACTGAGCACATAATAGCAGAAGACAGAGCAAAAAAGATGGGTACTATTGTAGAAAGTCTGGATGCCGGCTGGATGTTGCAGGAAAGGGAGAACTGATAAAGGTTCAGGCCCAGGGTCCTACTGCTGTCTGCCCTGTCTGCTGCTGCAGGGTGAGGAGGGCCTGACAAGGAGCTCGCACCCTGTTTCAGGCTGTACCTTGGGTGACAGCGAGATTCACTGAAGGTGTGCTTGGCCAGATCTTTCTGGTTTTGCTGAGGATGCTCATTTGGGACCAGCACTCAGCTAGGAGATGGGTAACCCCACCCTGAAAAGGCTTACAGGAATTGGCAGGTTTGGAACTAGGCATTTGATGGAGAACGGGTCTGAGAGATGGAAAGACCTGGACCCATGTCCAACTCTATTCTTAACCACATGGAGCCTCACTCTCCTCGTGAGTAAGTGCCAATGTTTTTAGTTAGTATCTATGGGATTGATGATGTTTGTTTGATGCTTGTGTGTCTCACCATGTAGACCAGGCTGGCCTGGAACTCAGAGAGCCACTTGCCAATGCCTTCAGGGTGCTGGGATTAAAGACATGTGCCACCATGCCTGGCCGGGTTTTGTTTGTTTTCTTTCGTTTTGTTTTTAAAGAAAGGATCTCTAGGCCAAGCTGGCCTGGTACATGAGGATTCTGAACTAACTCCTGACCTTCTGCCTCTACCTTCCAAGAGGGTAACTCCCTGACTGCCTGTTTTTTTTTAGGCAGTGTCTTGCCAAGTAGCTCAGGCAGTCTCAATTTTATGACACTCCTGCCTCTGCTGGCCCACACTGTCACCCCTGCAAATGTTATTAGCACTGTCATTAATGGAGAATTAGGATCCTTCTCGGGCTAGGATGACTCCCTTCCCTGTGTTAGATGCCTGTGGTTACTTGACAAGGAAAGTTTGGAGCTCAGGAGGAAATCAGAGCTGGTAATAAAGATGAGGGTGCCACCTGCAAATGAAGTGTACTTAGGAGCTGAGGGTTGGTCCCCAGGGAGTCTTAGGAAGGACAGAAGAGGAAAGCCCAGCAAAAGGCCTTAGGGCAAAAACATCAGCCATTAGGCAGCGGGCTCTGATGCAAGGGAAAGAGCAGCCTGCCGAGACTCAACCTCTCACTCAAACTCCCGCCCCAGGTCTGTGACAATCTTGGACGGCGACACACAGCTGCCTGTCCCCTCTGTGCATTCTGCTCCCTTAAGCTGGAGCAGTGCCACACTGAGGGCAACGTGCTGCGACAGCGGTGTGATGCTTCCCACAAGATACCCTTCATCAGCCCCTTCCTCTCAGCCCAGAGCATATCCACCGGCAACCAGGTACCTGAACCCGGAAGCCTGCGGCAGGGAAACGGTAAGGAGGCCTGGGGGGTGGAGAGGCCCCTGCCTCTCACATGTCCCATGTCCACAGGCAAAGATCCCAGAAAAAGGCCGCTTTGCTGGACTGGATATGTACGGAGGGCTCAGCTCAGACTTCTGGTGTAACCGGCTTGCCATGAAGGGCTGTGAAGATGACCGAGTCTCCAACTGGCTCAGAGCTGAGTTCCTTAGCTTCCAGGATGGGGATCTCCCCACAAAGGTCAGATCCTTTTCTTCAACCTTAGCCCCTCAGCCACTCCCAGTTCTTCTGGGCTACTTGTTCTGGGAAAGCCCGAGTTTGGGACCCCGACTCTGAGACCCAGTCCTTAGTGGCCCCTGCCACTCTTCAACAGACCCTTCCCTCAGTAAAGAAGGGTGACATTCAACAAGGCAGGAGGAACCCTGCCCAGTGAGAAAGCTCCAGGCTGGGAGGCAGGATGGAAATAGAGCCGTCCCAGCTCTGCCAGTCATTCGCTGAGTGGCATTGGTCAAGTCGCTGTGCCCTGCAGGCCAGAGTTATACTCACTGCTGCAATAAAGCCTAGACCCCGGCCAGTGCTGTGGAACCTGCCCCCTCTTGCTCAGTCTGAACCCTTTTCCCACCTTGTCCAGCGCTTTCCCCATCAACAATACCAGCACACTTCCCCTCACCCCCAAGCCACGACCTCTGAGTTGTTATCATCTATTGTTGCTGAGAGCTAGCCCCCAATCCCGCTCCACAGTTTGACAGCAGGCAAGGTCCACTGTCACTCACCAGATCCTGGAGCCCTTCCCCTCACTCAGGCTTCCTGATATTGGACCACTAGTTGGGCCACTTTCCTATGCTGTATATGCCCACCTGTGTGCGTGCGTGCGTGCATGCGTGTGTGTGTGTGCGCGTGTGTGTGTGTGTGTGTGTGTGTGTGTGTGTGTGTGTGTGTGTGTGCGCGCGCGCGTGTGTGTTGCTAGGCATCGCATCTAAGGCCTATGTGTGCTAGACCCTTAACCACCTCCTTCTGTACCCCCAGTAAGCTGACCAATAGGGCACCTCTGATTCTCCTTACCTCCCGACTGCTTCCCAGGGACCTAGCACTGAGGGTAGGGGAAGGCTGAAGGAGGCACCGTGGGGTGACCCCAGCTACGCAATGCTTGCTGCTGTAGGGCTCTGTTCTTCCCAGTACTGTCATGACCGGTACTCTAGAGGCTGTGTCCTGTCAGGGTTTTGACACTCTGTCCCTCCCCCGGCTCCTGATATAGATTTGTGACACAGACTATGTCCAGTACCCAAACTACTGCGCCTTCAAAAGCCAACAGTGCCTGATGAAAAACCAGAACCGAAGGGTGAGGCGCCCCCCCACCTCCCCCACCCCTGCCACCGTCCTCACCCCTTACCATCCCCTTTGTGTTCCTGGGAGGGTCTGTTCCGAGCCCTTCTCTTCCAGAAGCTGGGCTGTAGAAACAGTTGCCTGTCTGCAGCTCTGAGGCAGAGGTCCCCACACAGTAGTGTCCCTCCCTCTTCCTAGTCTGAGGGAGCCGGGCCCTCTCCGGCTGGAGCAGGCAGGGGCAGGGATAAGAGGGATGGGCCCTGAGGCCCGGGCAGAGGACCCTTACTGGCCTGAAAACAGGCCTCCCAGCCTTGCTCACCAGGTAGCCTACAGTAAGTTACTTCCTCTCTGAGTCTAGGCCTCCTCAGGCCTTAAGGAGGGTGAGCTCCTGGAGCCCATCAGTACCGCTTTCTGTCCCCCCCCCCCCCCCCCCCGTCCTGGCACCTCCTCACTTCCTGCTCCTACTCTTTTGTAGCTGTCCCGCATGAGGTGTATGCTGAATGAGAACTACAACGTGCTGAGCCCGGCTAAAAGTGAGGAGGTTATCCTTCGATGGAACCAAGAGTTTAACACTTTGGCTCTAGGCCAGTTTGGATGAGCTGGGGTCTGTGCCATCCCCACCCCAGCCCTACCTTTCCACTTTCTCATCGCTGTTAGACCTCATCTGTCAGTTGGCTTCCAGGTGCCCCTCACAGGTCTCTTGCCTGGCCCCTACTCACATTTTCCTTGGGTTGGGACAGCAGTCCCAGAGAGGTCCATGCTGGGAGCTCCATGTGCCTTGAAGAATACCTTCAAATAAAATGTTTGTCTTCAGCCCATGTGCTCTGTTCAGTGTGGTTGCCACCCTCAGCACGGATACCCTCACTCCCTAGGAATCTAGCTCCAGACTCTCATAGCACTGAGGAAGCATCCCGCACCAGAAGCGGCGGGCTTGAATGGTCAAGGGGTCCCCCTGAAAGGGTTGTGACTGCAACCCCACAGGTGGAGATAGCTGAGAGAGGGCGCTAGCCTGCATCTCTGAAGCTCTGGGCCCCATGAGTTCACATGCAAATGTGGGGTTCTCAACCCCGGAAAGTATGAGCGAGCTCACACTTCCCTTTACAATGAGGGAGGACAGCGAAACTGCAACCTGGCGCTCAGAAACCCTCGCTGTGGGAGCTCTGCCAGATGGTCTGAGTGACAGAGCACCTTGGCGGGTCACTTTTTCACCTGCCTGGAATCATTTGGACACTCACATAGTGGATACAACTGGGACACAGTAGAGTCTCCTCCATAGGTTACCAGTCATGAACTGAACTTAATGAACACGCAGCAGAGCCTGGGGTTGGTGGTGTAGCTCACTTGGCAAAGGGCTTGCCTAGCATGGAGGACACCCTGGGTTCAGTTGGGTGTGGTGGTGCATGCCTTTTATCCCAGCATTTAATCCCAGCACATGGGAAGTGGAGGCTAGAGGATCCGGAATTCAGGGCATCATCTGTGGCTGCAGACTTTGAGGCTACACGAGATCCTGTTTCCCAAAGTGGGGGCTGGGTAATTGTGGGGGACTAGAGACATTGGTTATCAAATAAAAGCTGAGCAGGCTGAGCAGGCCTGGTGCCTTAACTTCAATCCCCAGAACCCATGTAACAGGTAGAAGGAGAGAGCCAGCCCACAACGTTGACACAGGTACCATGGCATGATTGCACATTTCCCACCCACCCACCCACCCTCTCTCTCTCTCTCTCTCTCTCTCTCTCCCCTCTATGTGTATATGTGTGTGCCTCTCTCTCTCTTTCTCACACACACATACCTTAATAAAAACATTTTACAAAAAACTTTGTGTGGTGGTATATGCCTGTAATCCCAACACTTGAGAGGTAGAGACAGGCCAACCTGGCCAAATGCTGGGTGTGGTAATGCACATCTTTAACCACTAGCACTGAGGAGACAGAGACAGGTGGATTTGTATGAGTTCTAGGTCAGCCTGGTCTACATAGCAAGTTCCAGGACAGCCAGACCTACATAATCGAGAGATCTAGTCTCAAAAAACCAAAACAACAAAATTAGGAGGCAGGAGAGAAGGCTCAGTGGTTAAGGATACTTGTAGAAAACTCAGATTTGGTTCCCAGAACCCATGTCTGGTAGCTCACAACCAACTGTAACTCCAATTTCAGAACATCTACTCCATCTTCCAGCTTTCACAAGCACCTGCATGCACCTTGCACACATAGACACACTCAAACACACATGTATATAAAATATTTTAAATTTATTTTTATTTTAATTAAAATTTAATTACTTAATTTCTCCCCTTTCTGTTCCTCTCTCCAATTCCTCCCATGTTCTCACTCCCTCTCAAATTAACGGCTTCTTTTTCTTTGACTGTTAATGTTACACACACACACACACACATATGTGCTGAGTTGATTTAGTGTTGCTTGTGTGTATATAGTTTCAGGCTGACCACTTGGTATTGGTTAAGTAATTAAGGGGCTCATCCCTGGGAAAGACTAACTCTTCCTCTCTCAGCAGTCCGCAGTAGCCAGTGCTTTCTCTACAGGTGGACTCCTGGTGGGCGCCCCGTACACATTAGCATGTACTGGTGGTGTTATTGTTCAGATCTTATTTAGGGAGCCGTAACTGCTGAGGTTTCCCTGTCATTTCTAGGCGACATTTTCACATTGGACTTCCTGTTCCTCTGGTTCCACAGTCTTTCTGCCCCATCTTCGGAAATGTTCCCGGAACCTTAGGTGCAGGTGGTGTATTATACATGTATCCACTGGGGCTGGGCACAAAAGTGGCAGTTGATCTTTGCAATTTTCTGACGCATAAAATTTACTTTAAAAAGGATCAAGAGACTGCCAGTCATTGTACACCTTTAATGCCAGCATTCAGGAAGCAGAGGCAGGAGGATCTCTGTGAGTTCAAGGTCAGCCTGGTCTATGTCCTGACTTCTAAGCTAGTCAGAGATACATAATGAGACCTGTCTGTTAGTATTCAGGCATCTGTATGGCCTGTCCTTGGGGTTCTGACAGGATACGCCCTCAGCTGCAGCCACTAAGAGCACCATCTGTGCACATTTGCTATGTTCCCACTTAAAAGGGCCCTGCCACCTCTCCTCTCTCTCTCTCTCTCTCTCTCTGCCTTTCCCTCCCCCTGTCTTTCTCCCTCCCCCCTCCCTCTGTCTCTCTGTCTCTCCTCTTCCATCACTCTTGTCCCCAGGAACTGGTCTCTGCCCCCCCTCTGCTCCTTTTTCTGCCACTTCTCTCTCTTCTTCCAATGAACCTCCTATGTGAATCCTTGTTTGTTATAGTGAAAGCTTCATCTTAGCCCCTGGCATCCATATACCCTGAGTCTGGAATATTGTTGTGGAAGTTCCACCCAAGCCCCTCCCCCATGTCCCTCCAAATCCTGCTGCATCTCAGAAAGCCTGCCAAATGACGACCCCTCCCCCAGAGATGCTCAAGACCACTCCCACAGGGTATTTAAACTGCCCCCAGAAAATAGACTTATGGTTTTCCAGTCTCCCTCTCCCGTCTTCTCTCTGGGAGGCTGGAAGGCCATCCAGGAGCATTGTGTCCATTAAATGTGGGCTTCTTCTAATTTGGTTTGATTTGGCCTGATTTGGATTGCTGCATCGGTGGAGAGGCTTATCTGAGTGTAGAAACTTGTCACTGTTGTGTGGCATGACCTCTCTTCACAGTGTTTTTTAAAATTACAACACTCTCAAAAAAGGAAAAAAAAGAAAAGACAGGAAAAGTTGAAACATGCCCAAAATAGTTGATCTGGGTGTGGCTTAGTGGTAGAGCACTCTACACGAGATCCTAGATTCAATCCTCACAAAGGAAAAAATACAATTAGGATAACGCACCCCTAAGTACCCTCAGCCAGCTGGAGTGATCAACCCATGGCTTATCAGCAGAATGTTAAGGCTGCATTTTGTCTAGTGTTTGCCAAACTCATTTAACCATAGTACCTTTTTCAGCTACCTTAAGTGAAGGGCTATGCTCAGCCCAAAGATGCAGACAGGAACCACCATAGGCTCCCTGACTCCAGGAGCTCCCAGCCTGAGGCAGAGGGAGAGGAGGAAGCATCCAGATTGGCCCCGGCTTTGATGGAGGAACTGGGTGTGTACTGGCGGGAGAAGGCATGCCCATGGGCCCTAGGCAGGGGAAGATACAACCACGAGCCACATGAAGTAGAACCACCTAGCTGACCCAAGAGAGGAAGAGAGACAGGCAGGGAGGAGACAGGTGAGGACAGAGGACAGCATGGGGGGGGGGGAGCGGGTTAGTCATCAGGCATCAGTGGGTGGGTGTTCCCGGAAACTGCGCGTCCCGTCCGTGAGCCACAGTTGGGGAGTTGGGTGACTAGAGTTTCGGGCTGGATTTTCATCGGCTCTTGGGACTGGCGTCTCTGGTCTGTTTGGGAAGGTGTCTGTGGTCAAGGCTTTTTCTCCACTTTGACAGGAACCACCCAACCCGGGCGGCGGGGTTGGGTGAGTGCACAGAGCTGGAAGGGATGGACTGAGATCCGTGAGGTGGGTGTGTCAGGCCCCGCCCAGGAGCAGGTCCTTCCAGCACAGCTCGGCCCAGCCCAGAGTGCCAGCGGAAGCAGCGGCAGAGGAAGAGCAGCAGAGCTCAGGTATGGGGGTGACAGGTGGGGGATGTTGGCGAGGAGGAGACCGTGGGTGGGACACGGGCTCTCTGGATGAAGTGAAAGGGCAAAGGAGCTAGCCAGCCCCCTGTGGAGAGATCTTTCCCAGGGAGCCTGAAGAGGCAACCAGCTCGCCCGCACCTGAGAAGGCCTGAAGCCCCCCTGTGGGCCACCTCTAGGCTCCTGCTTTCACGCTGACCCTGAGCTCCCTGAGGAGAGAGCTCGCTGAGATCTGCTCCCCTCACACCCACTCATCCTGCGGGACCAGGTCCTATCCTGGAAGACACCGAGCTGAACTGGTCCAAGTCGGCTAATGAGCTGACTGGGTCACCAAGGTGTGTTTTATGTGGTTATTTGGTGCTGAGGGCAGAATAAGTACAAGCTAAGCGCTTGCCCTAGCACTGAGTGCCCCACCCTGAGATACAGCCCAAGCTGGCCTCAAAATCTGTATGTAGGCATGGAAGACCCCTCTCCCTCTCCCTCTGGGGTCCTCGGATTGCAGGCATGGACCACCACACCAGCTTTCTGTAAGTGCTGGGGGTTGAACCCAGAGCATGCTAGGCAAGCACCCTACCAACCGAGTTACATCCCCAGTCTCCTGATGCTTTGGGGGAATGAAGTCTTGATCCCTCATCCTGTCTTGTCAGCTTTCCTGGTAGTTGAAACTACCCAGGTGTGCCAGGATGCTCAGTCTCCAAAGTCTATTTTTTTTTTTTTTTTTTTTTGCTATGCCAGAGATTAAGCCCAGGGCCTTGTGAATGCTGATAATCTTTCTCCCACTGAGTTACTCACCCCAGCCCTCCCAAGTACATTTTAATGGGTCTTGGGGAGGCACCGCCCCAATGTGAAATGCTGTCATAGAAGGGCGCCGGGCTGTATGGTCTCTGTCCCCATGGCTTTGACAGAATATGGCTCATGAGTGGCAAAAAAGGGGAGGAAAGGAGCTATTGTGCATATGTGGGAACCTGCGGAAGGCTGTCTGGACCTTTGCCATACTTGTGCAGGCCACTGCCTGCCTGCTGCCTATGGTTTTAGGGGCTCAGTGACAAGAAAGGGACTCACTGACTCGTACTTCCAGAATTCTTCACTTATGGTAAGCTGAAGTCATAGCCCTGGGGGAAATGGAGGCAAGGAATGTGACACAGAACCTCACTTCCCAAACGAGCAGAGAGACACTC